AGCAGGCTTCCCGCGGAGCAGGGAGCCCAATGCGGGGCTCCGTCCCAGGACCCTGGGATCCTGACCTGAGCCGAAGGCAGACGCCTAATGACTGAGCCACCCAGGCGCCCCTGACTGATCTTTTTAAATAATTTTAGATCTTATGGGTACCTGGGTGGCTTAGTCGGTTAAGCATCTGCCTTCAACTCAGGTCAGGATCCCAGGGTCCTGGGATTGAGCCGCTCGTCGGGCTCCCTGCTCAGCAGTGAGCCTGTTTCTCCCTCTCCCTCTGCCCCTCCGCCTGCTTGTGCTCTCGCTCTTTCTCTCTCTCAAATAAATAAATAAAATCTTAAAACATAAATTTGGATCTTACATTTAGGTCTTTAATTCATTTTGAGTTGATTTCTGTATATGGTATGAGGTAGCAGTGCAATTTAATTCTTTTGCATGTGGACATCAAATTGTCCCGGCATCATTTCTTGAAGAGGCTGTTTTTCCCTGTTGAATTGTGTTGGTACCCTAATAAAAAAATCAGTTGATTGTGAATGTGAGGGTTTAATTCTGGATTCTCAATTCTATTCTGTTGATCTGTAGGTATATCCTTATGCTGGTCCCACACTATCTTGAAGGTAACTGAATTTGAGCTGGGCCAAATTAACTGGACCTGGGAATGCAGAGTCCCAGAGCTTCCTTATCTTTCCATAGTGCTCTAGAACTTTAAGGTGCTTTCATACATATGAGTTCGCCCAAATCTTGCAGCAACTGAGATAATACATGGACGCTCAGAAGGCTGAGTGGTATACCCCTAGAATGACTCAACCAGAAACAGTGGCGGTTCCAGGACCAACTTGTCACGTGCTCTCATTACCCTAGCCCATCGCCTCCTGGTTGAGTCCGGAAATTTGGGAGAAGGGGAAAAAAAAAAAACCAGAGACAAATTAGGGCCAAAATGATGGGAAGGGTGCAAAACACACTGATTATAAATATTTGACTCCTAATCAGCTTACGATAAAATTTCCTTTCTCCTGTATGGACAAGAAATGGAATGTTCTGGGTAATCCAGGGTTTTGCTTGGGTCTTTGCTTTTTCAAAGAATGAAAACACAGTGAAATACTCTCAACACGAAAACCACATGGACTGTAATTTAATCTTTAATTTTGTTTTTGTTGTCATTCTAGAAGACTCCAGTATATTTTAAAGCAATGTTTCTTCAAGAGTGGTCTGAAGAAAACCTCAGCTATCAGCGTCATCTGATAGAGGCGCTTGTTAAAAAATGCATTCTTCAAAACTCCCATCCACTGTGTGTCTACTGAAAATCACTGAGTGATTTTTTATGCACATTAGGGTTTGGGAACCACTGTTTTAGAGCGATGAAAGTCAAATTATGAGTATCAATTATTATTGCACTCAAGAGATGCAGACATTCTGCTTAAAGGAGAGCTTCGGATCAGAACAGTAGATTAATGTACCCATTCCTACAAGTCTTTGCTAAAACATCACCCCTCCCTATAAATTTACTGATTTAAAATTGCTTATCACCCTCTTTTCCATGCCTCCCACCCTCCCTATCCCCCTTCCTTTCTCCACAGCACTTACCAACATCCGACATATTATTTATTTACCTACCTATCTATTTATTTATTTGTTATCTGACTCCTGTTTCTAGAAAACAAGTTTCACAAAGGTAGTACTAGGAATATAGTATTCAAGGTAGTATCTGGCAGGTAGCGGGTGTTCAATAAATATTTGTTGAATGAATGAATGTGCCAAGTTGCATCTTAGTGCTTGGGCATAATGTCATTTGTCCCTTGGCTTTCTGGAAAGGATTTTTTTTTTTAACTATAAAGCAAATTATTCTTTCATTCTCTGAGTGATGCTCAGTGTGCGTAGTAGTAGAGAGAAAGAGCTGCAACAGCGTCCTCTAATCTCCTAATTCTGGAGTCTGGGCCAGTTGCTCTAAAGATCATTTTTCCTTAATACCACTGAGATCCTCAATTTACTACAAGGATCATGGATTTACAGCTGCATTGTCCTGTGAGGGCTATCCCTACTGAGAACAAAGTGGACTGAGACAGCTAGGCTGAGATGAACCTATGGTAGGAGGAGACTTCTCTAAGTCCACTGTGCCTCAAACCAGGTAGTGACAACAACTAGATGAGATGCTGCCTCCTCCAAGGACCTGAATGAGAACGCTAATAAATGGATCCTATCTCAATGAACTATATAGGCAGGCTTGGCTGGCTCTACGTAAATGACCCTTACCCATTTCCTACCTCCAAGCCACCTGTCCAACAACATCAGCACACAGATCAATGCTCACTTGCCCCCCACCCCCTCCCTGTACCTCCCCACTGGCCCCATTTTACACACAAGGAACCTGAAGTTTAGATCTACCAATACCCGTTCCCTAACACGGGATTCCCTACCTGCTGACCCTCATCTGTGTCACTCCCAGGACACACCTGATGTTCCAGTTTTACTGAGGTGGTGAAAAATACCCTGGGTGAGGTGCCCCCCTCCCCCCCAGTCCAGGGGATGCTGAGAAACTGTGGGGTAAGTAGGACAATAAAAACAGGAAAAAGCAAGTTTGTTTCTAGTGTTATGCACACAGGGTGGCAGGATATACCTGCTGAGTGTTCCCAGAAGGTCCCCAAGGAAACCATTAACTCGAGTCTCTCACGTTCTCACATGTGTGGTGGTTGGGGTAGGGGGAGGGAAGGTATACTGAGATGAGGGGGATGGGCACCCTTCCAGAGGTCAGGAATACACCCCCCAGAGCTGCTGTACACATTAATAAAAGGTGGATGACTGAAGGATGGATGTCAAGGTGAGCAGCAAAGGGTTTGTCATCAAGGGTTGTCACTGGGTTCTACAGGGTGGATTTAAGGTTGAGAAGGGGGAAGGAGTGGGAGGTGAGTTGGGAGGGAGGGGCTTGTGTGGCACTGAGATACCCAGCAGGGATGAGGGTGTGGGGGGAGTGGCTGTCTTGGCCTCCAGCTTTGACCCTTTCTTGGCTGGTCTCAGCCAGGGAATTGAGGAGAGGAGATGGATATAGGGAGCTGGGGATAGGGAGGGTGGCCTCCAGCTCCGGAGGTGATCAGAATGGATGTTAGGGTTCCCGGGCTGGAGGGAGGAAGATTTGGGGGAGGGCGAGGTGACTCCTAGGAGCCTAGGGTGAAAGTCCGGGAGGGGCTCTCGGAGACCCAGGAGATGGAGGCGAAGGGAGGAGGAAGGGAAGGCGTTTGCCTTCATGGGGAGTAAATCTCAAACTGAGGCGGATTGAGAGAAGTAACTCCAAATGCAGTGGGTAGGCAGCTGAGGGTCTTCCAATCCGATGGGGTTGGGCTTAGAACTCTGCAAAAGGAGGGGGTCAATCGGAGGGGAAGGTGCACAGCTGAGCCGGCGGCCTCCTAACCTGGAAACGGGGAGGTTCTAAGCGGCACTGACCTCTCCCCCAGCCTCGGTCGGGAGGGCCGGTGAGCGTCCGGAACCGGCTTTCCCGAATCCAACCAGAAGTCTGAGTAGGGCTGACAAGTGAGCCAGGAGTGAGAGAAACAGTGAAGACTCCTCACACTGGGGGCTGCGGGTGGCCGCAAACTGGGAACCCGGGCTTGCAATAGGGGGATTCCTCAATAGACCATACAGAAGGGATTTGGGGGAGTTGAAGGGGACAGCAGGGGCTGGGAAGGGATTCAGGAAACTGGCACGGTTTCTACTGGGGTGCTGATGGAGTCTCCCCATTCGAGACGCGAGGCATTGAAAGGGTTCCCCAAATTGGACATAGAGGATATGGGACACTGGGAGTGGACTCAGGGCTGCTGAGGGGGAGCCCTGAATCAGGCTCTGAGGAAATTGGGGGCAGCTTCTCATTCCCACTGGGGGGAATGGAGGGCTCCTCCACCAGTTGGAACGCAGGGGGCATGGAAGAGGGGGGCACTGGGGCTATCTCCCTCCCGACCCAGGGAGATTGGGGAGCTCTTAAATTCTGGATAGCGGGGACCTGAGAGGGAGGACTAGGGGGTCCCCGATCCGGAACCGAGCTACCTTGAAGGCACCGGGAAGCGCTTCAATCCGGGAGGGCGTTCCCACGGCCCGGCCCCGCGCTGGGGTGGGTGGGGGGTGCGGCCGCGCCCTGGTCCCGGCCCGCCTCCGGATTCGGGGTCTCTCTCGCCCTCGGGGACCCGGGAGCCCGGTGGGAGCGGGGTCCGGACGCCGCCGC